TAAACGGTGGACTTCAAATGTCCTCTCAGTGTAAGAGGCACAATATGGATGAGATTAAGTGAGACTTAAGGCCTTCTGCACTGTAAAAGGGACACTCTCAGCATTAGGCTCTGAACATAATCTTTTCCTTTCCTATATTTTAGCTCCAGGAACTCTGGGTGTGAGTGCCCTCACTCAGGGAAAGATACATGTGATGGTAGATAGGAAAAACAAGGACCGACCTGTTTTCAGCCAAGTCATAAATCAAGGTGGAACTCACTAATATGCTCTTTTCCCATTGTCCCCTCTTCTTTTTTTTTTGCTCATCTCTGCTCTCTACCTCTTGCTTCCATCAGAGATATATACTACCTCATCTCCTGTCAATAACGTGTTAATGGGCTCTAGTAGTCAGATAATATAATAGTGTTGGCTGAAGAACTGTGGGCAGATAAGGGAAAGTCTCTGACTAGCCTGAGACAGAGAGCTTCTGATGAGCAGGAGGTGGGGGATGAAAAAGGGACGAGCAAGTGACATGGGGTTGGAACTGGCTTGAGTGATAGGCTACACTGAGATGTTCATACACTGTGGCTATTATTACTGAGGAGCAACAGAGTTGATAAATAAGAAGAACAGGCAAAGAGGGATTTTTCCAAAGGCAGATGTTCTACAACTGCTGCCTTGAGACATGATTTTTTTTTTACTTTCACAGGTTCCTGTATTTGCTGAGTCATAGATTCAAGCACCAGGAGGGTGTAAGGTTAAGCAAGGGTCAGTCTGTCACCAGCTGTGTGTCGTCTCTATGTCAGGGCCACCATGCCTGTCATCCCCACCGCCTCGTCAGAGGCAACACCATGAAGGCAGGTGTCTCCCTGTGTCAGCTGCTAGGTTGCTTCCTCAGCGATTCAGTAGGTGTCCAAGCACAGATCAGCAGCCATTCAACCCATTCATCACAGCCCACTAGACTCACAGCGGACCCACATATGGCTCGGTGCCCCTCTCGTCCCCTCCAGGACTGCAATCTTGGCATATTACCCGTATCAATTTTTTTAAAGATCCCAAAAGGCAAAGGTTTTAGGACTTGTTGAAATAATCATGAGGTGCTTGTTGGTTAATGCACTCTGTTTCAGTGAGCACTCTGTGAGAAAAAAGGAGCTGGGAAATTGTGAGACAGAGGCGAGCCAACTGAGACTGCTCATTATGTATGCACTGCAGCGAAACCAATCTTTGTTGAGCCTGTCCTCGATTGTTTTTAAAAGGATACTTCACTGGACGCAATCAAATTAGCAAGAACATCACTGATACGGGGTAATAACCCTAAATTGAATTTCTGCACAGTCTAAAGTGTCCCCTCTCTGCAGAATCAATTGCTGTGAAGAGAAAAGGAGGACAGTAAGAGGGCATTCATAGTTAGCAGACCTTTATAATACACACCAGAGATGTAGGCATGAACAGGCTATTTTCATGCTCCAGGGCCCTGCCACAATGTGCGCCTTCCAACCACTACGCAAGATGCAATCTATCCAATTATGCTAATTAACTTGAATTACCGTACAACTCCCAGCATTGAGAGTGAAATAGGGCTTTCTATTCCTTCGTTTGCATGAATATGATTCTGTTTCATTGTTTGGGTGTTAAGAGCTATGCGCAGCGAGTCCCGGTTGGCACCCTAATGGTTGTGCTAACTGAACAGAGAGAATGACAACAACAGGCAATTAGGTAGACAGCCTCCTGTTAGCTCTGCCACTGGCTGACACTGCTGTGTACGGTGTTGGAGTCAGCCATTACTGTACATACACATTGGCAATTTATGAATTTTCCTGACATTTATAACCACAGTAGGTTATAATGAGTGTGATTACAATGAAGCTGTTATAAAGGTCAAGAATCAAAGCCACAGGAGGCAGCCACCTCCACGGTGTATTTAAGCAGAAACACAACAGCTCTTACATTAGCATTGCTAGAGGAGTAACATCAGGGAACAGTTTCACAGAAAATGATCCATCATATGACTCCTGAGTCAGGATGCAGCAGAGATGACATTACTGCGGGATGACAGCGTTGTCATGTGCCGTCCCTGTGTTTTTCTTCCACAAATGGTGCTCTGACAATACAAAGTGGGCTGACAGAGCCCGCAAAGTATAATCGTATCAACCGATATGAGCACTCGCTGTAGTTATGGAGCAATGACTCGACTGCCAGGCAGATCACCTGGAGACCCTGGATCATACGGTATCAACTCAGACATAAACACACACATACATATGTAGCTTCTCATATAATTACACAAGACTGTTTATGTGGGCAATAGAAAGCAAACGGCTGTTTATAAATCAAAGACACTAATGCTGACCTTTAACTAGTTACCCAGATAATTACTGCTGTCTTATAGTGGTTAATAAAATTAAAATATATTATTTACACAAATAAAAATGAAGTGTGACTGACCTATATGTATTGCACTCGAAACTCTGTTTCATACAGCTACTACCATGCTTCGGGTTGAATTTCAGGCAGCATGCAGCGTTTTGTACCTTCATGCAGTACTGCACGTGCAGACCATAGGATCAAACCAGACTCCAACTAATTCACTTAGTGCTCCAGTTAGCAGACAGAAACAGAATCATTGTGAGCTACAATAGCCCATTACCCATAAGTTAAAGAGCTCCATCAGTCCCCAGCACCTCCTCCTCTTCCTCTTCCCTCCCGGTGAAAGGAGTGAGTTAAGCAGTGGATGCCACATGTCCAGTAATGAGCAGGCTGCAGGCCCATTTGTGCTGAGAGGGAATAGGTCCCTAATGAGCCACTGAAGACACTTAGGGCCACTGAGTCAAGATTGAAATGTGCCACTGATGGCCGATAGGAGGTTGTGTGAGTTCAACCAGAGAGGAGAAAATGCAAAAAATAGCTCTTTTTAAAAGATGGTGTTTTGGACAATAAAAGTTCTTTGGGAAGTTTGTGGGTTTGCCAAAGTATGTTTTACCGTTTTGTTTCGGGCACCCTGAAGAAACCTATAAGAAATGCCTTCCTTCTACATCTTCAGGCTATACATTAATATAAAAGGAATATCACCCACTATGAGATTTTCACATTATAAGTCAGCCCTAAACTGACTGGGTAAAAGGTGGTACTAAAATATATGCACTGTTGAGCCCTCTCTTTACTTGCTCAATTCCCGGCTTTTATTTATCGCCTCATAAGATGTTATTAAGCTATCCGTTTCTTTGATATGATGACATTTTTCTTCGAGTGCCATTGCTACTGAAGTGAAACTATATGAGTATGGGAGTTAGGACTCCACAATTGCAACATCAAGCACCACACTGCTTCACCATGTTAAAAATATTAGAGGATGACGTCTTCACCACAATCCCTGAGTCACAGCAGAAAAACTGCACTTCTAGCACTTTCCGTTGTGGGCCTGAGAGCAGCCATGAGCTCTCTGCTCCTCACCTGTCTGGAAAAGGTCAAGGCTGTTTGGGTTTACACACTGAATTATATGGAAAGTAAAAACACACTCCCATATGAGAGTAAAAATGAAACTTAAACAAATTATTGTTAAAAAAAGAAAAAACTAACTTCCTCAGTATAAATAAGTTCTTTGTCATCTCATCTACAAAAAGTATGTGAACCTTTTGGAATTTCACGGTTTTCTGCATTAATTTGTCATAAAATTTGTTCTGATCTTCACCTAAGTCAAGAGTACTGATGAATATAATGTGTCTAATATAACACAAAAAAATTCTGATCTTTCATGTCTTTGAGAACAACCATAAAAACCTTATAGTGTTAGTGGAAAAAGTATGTGAACCCTTGATTTAATGATCTCAAAAAGCTAATTGGAGTCAGGTGTTAGCATACCTGGAGTCTTGTTAAGAAAATGAGTTTGGAGGTGTGGACTAGAGCTACTTTGACTGATATAAACCACTCAAACCTTTTGAGTTTACTCCACACAAGAAGAATATGCTTATTCTTTTATTATGTGAGCCATGCCTCTCCAAAAAGAGCTTCCAGAAGATCTACGATCAAGAATTGTTGATTTACATAAAGCTGGAAAGGGTTATTAAGTGATTTCAAAGACTTTAGAAATTCACTGGTTTACAGTTAGGCAAACGATCAACCAGTGGAGACACTTTGGGACTGTGGCTACTCTACCAAGAAGTGGGCACCCAGTCAAAATGACCCCCAGAGCAAAAAAAAAAAAAAACTCATCAATTGGACTGATGAAACTCAGACTGAACTATTTGGAAAGAACATGCTGCACTACATCAGGTATAAAAATGCCACTGATTATCATCATGAAAACATAATCCCAACCGTAAGGTATGGTGGAGGAAACATGATTTGAGCCTGCTTTGCTGCATCAGGGCCTGACCAGCTTGTAATCATTGAGGGGAAAATGAATTCCCAAGTGTATCAAAAAAATCTTCAGGATAATGTGAGAATATCTGTACATCAGCTGAAACTCTGTAGAAGTTGGGTGATGCAACAGGACAATGACCCAAAACACCAGAGCAAGTCCACAACAAAATGGCATCAGAAAAACAAAATCCACCTTTTGGAGCGTCCAAGTCTGAGCCCAGACCTCAACCCAACAGAGATGCTATGGAATGACTTGAAGAGAGCCATACACAGGAGATGTCCAAAGAATATGACAGAGAAAGGGTCAACCAATTATTAATTCCAGGGGTTCACTTAGTTTTTCCACTGCCATTTTGAATGTTGAATGAGTTGTGTTCAATAAAGACATGAAAGATCAAAATTTATTTTGTGTTATTCTAGGCACATTATATTTGTCAATATTCTTGATTTAGATGAAGATCAGATCACATTTTATGACAAATTAATGCAGAAAACCGTGAAATTCCAAAAGGTTCACATACTGGCCAGCTATTGGCACATTATTTTTATAAGCAGCCTCATTTGAACTATTGTTTCGGCCAGTGAAGCCTATGAAAGAGGAAGACTAACAGGCCCTGCAGGATGTAACTCAGATGCAATAACAGTGCAGGGGCGACACCCACCCATAGCTTGGATGGCCAACATTGCGGGCAGCAGGAGGGAGAGCATGGTCTTCCAGGCTGGATTCGTACCTCAGGTCAACTTCTTCAAACACAGCACTGCAAGGGGAAAAAACATGTCTGAGATGGAGGAAGACTGTAATAACACAGAACACGATAGCACAACAAAATAAGATGCGTGGATAGGATGGTGATTAAGAAGTGACAGAAACAGTAACGGTTGTCTTCTATGTCTTTGTTTTAGTTTGCCCCGTCTCTCAGGTGAGTGATGTACATATAGTACATCATCAATTACTGGCTATGTGAAAGTCTAGAATTAATTCTTATGACTTACAAATGTATCTGAAAGTTTATCTGAAGGTGACTCTTTTAGTCCTTTCTCTGGCATGCTCAAGGCTTTTCTCTTTTAGAGGGAGTGGAGCTGTGATGACAAATGAGGACTTCCAAAGTTGGCAGGAAACAGCCAAGTCATTCTCTCTGCTTTGCAAAGGGAAAACACTACTTTAGGAATAAGCAGAAATAGACAAAACTATTCATCCCTGTCGACTGCCTCTCAACCAGGCATGAATTATTTATGAGATATTTATCTCTGAGGGATTGGTAGAGGTCACTATTTGTATCTGTATTTGCTCTGACAAAAGCTTGTTTTTTCCCCACTGATATGAAGTCACTGTTGTACAATCTCTGATTTTTTATTTTATTATTTGGGTACCACAGTAGGATAACAATCCTTGGCTGCTGAGAAGCAGAACTTTTTTTGTTCTGGAACAAAAGCAAAGCTGTTTGGTAGATTTCACCACCAAAACAAATTAGTCTGTATTTTCAACTGCATTACTGTACTATGATTAGAAATGATAAGGTAACTGATACTGGGTTATCTAACTCAAACAAGTTTTGAAGTTCAGAAGAGTGATTTTCTTGTTTATGAAAAACAAAAGCTACCCTGGAGTTTAAAGCATCATGTTCCAAAAATTGCAAGAACTGCATTGTAATTGGGATAATTTTTGTAGCACAGGCACCCATTTTTAACAAAAAGAAAAAATGATATTCTGTGGACTACAGCTACACAAGAAAAGGTAATGGCACTGTTTGCAATTTCATGGCTTTCTGCATACATTGGTCATAAAATGTGATCTGATCTTCACCAAAGTCACAAATATCAAGAAATATTTCTAAGCTGAGAAATCGCAAACAATCATGACCTTTCATGTCTTTATTGAAGACACATTAAACATACAGTGATGGTGGAAAAAGTAATGGCAACACGAGGCTTCTGATGTCATTAAAAGTCAGCTGGAGTTGTTAGCAAACCTTGAGTCCAATCAGTGAAACGAGAATGGCTATTTAAGTTTGTGGCTGTGGTGAAGATCAGATCACATTTCATCACCAAATTTATGCAGGTTTACTTTACTTTTTCTTGCAACTGGGCTTCTCAACACAAATAGCGCTGAAAAGAACTCAGAAGGAAGAAAAAAGATTGTGATTTGAAGGATGGGAACAAGTCAGAGCTAGATTTAGATTGACTGTGTAAAGTGCACAAAAAGAAAAAGACGAGTGGGGGGGGGGGGTATCGGTTATCAAATCGGCATCCTCAGCATTTTGAAACTATATCCCAAAACATTCTACAAACACTGAAATCACTATATACCATCATATATGATTGTTTTACATCAGGCTACATTTTATTGCTGTTTAAACTGTTTTTTGTGAGATAAATATCTCTTAACAGAAAAGGAAGTGAGCAATAGTCTATCAGAAGTCACTCACATCTGGTTTCCTGTCAGTAACTCATTTTAGCATGACATCATTTCTTAGCACATAAAGGAAAGGGCAGTCATCTTGACTCTTTTCTGTTTGTTTTTTTTTTTTGTCCAAACCCTCTCATCCGTCCCTTATTCTCTGTTCCACTTTTCCCATAAATACCCAGGAGGTACTGTAAGTGTCTCTTGAGCTGTACAAGGACAAATAAATAGAAAACTCTGTTTTTATTTGTGTAGTTTGAATACTACCACTGGGAGTCACTGCAGTTAGACATGTTCAAATCATGCATACACCAACTAGAGTCACAATAAAAGTGACAACCAACAGGCTGTATCTTTGGGCTGACATTACACACATGATTTAAATTTATTTTTATTGTGGACATTTAAACCCATTTGTACACTCTCTTTTATTACTACTGTACCATAAGAATTTCCCCTTGGGGATCAGGCAAGCTTTCTATCTGTCTACATAATAAAATCCACTGTGTGAAATCATTTTCTTTCCAAACTAGATCCATAACAAAAAGAACAGCAACAAAACAGTAAAATCTTGAGTAAAAATCCCTCAAACAAAAGGGTGCATTACTGCCACCATTGTCTGGTTAATCTGGTTTTGGCAGCATAGAAGATGTACTTTTTAATGTGACCTGATTTCCAACTGCAGAAACAGAAAATACCAGTAACAACTTATACAGACAGTGTGTGAAATCATTTTCTATATCCACACTGCAATTTACCATTTTTCTGTTTTACATTTATGCTCTACTGCACATCATTTGAAACCAGAGTTATTCTCCTCGTCTTACCACATTAGTGGGGAGTTCCCCGGCAGTTACAGTAACCCGTGGGTGCCTCAGATGAACAATCCTAAACATCAAGGTGTGGTCAGACACCAGTTAACTCCTAATTCAATAAAACTGATGAAACTTTACAGCTGGGCAGATAAATGTCTGTACAAATGAACGACTGCAAGTCCAGCAAACTTTGTCTGTGTTTTGGGCATGTTTAGAAATACACTGGCACATACATTGGTAGCATGAATCATTTCAGTATTGCTGTTAGCTGTAGCTCCACTTTATAACTTCACCAAAACTTTTCCATGTGGCTCCATTTATGGCTTCAGCAGAGAGGATGTGGGCAGGAGTGCAGCTTCATCACAAAGTTTCCACAATAGCCCCGCTCACCATTTGCTCTCTGGACTTTCAAATCGCTTTAGAGACCAATTCAAGACGCTGGTAACATTATGTGAATCTCCTAAGATATTTACCCTCAGAGGCCAAGATTATGAGTCACCACACAAAGATCCAATAACTGAAAGCCCAGATACATATTACAGCCATCCTTTCCTGAAATGTATCAACAGGTTTTCCTAAGAACAGAATGCACTGAATTATGCCAACACAGCAAACCACCGTCTGACTGTCTGCTGTGCTGTCCAGACGCTAGAGAGCCATCAAAGGGTTTTATACTGACTCACTCAAGTACTTTACCGACCCCGTGCCAGCATGTACACTTTTGTCTTCTTTTCATGACTCAACTTTAACAGCACAGTTCAATGTTCAAAACAAACTTACCACAATCTTGAGAAAACAGAAGGTTCTAGTTAAAAACAAAGCTATTATGTATCACTATTGCTAGCTCTTTATTCAAATTTCAATAATTCTCTAAAATGAAAATTATTAAAATGAAAAAGAAAATGGTCACTGAAAGACAGTTTGACAGGCAGTGAATAATTTCTTTCAGGGATTGGTCATCAGCTTTTGAGGAATAATGGTTAGTGGATTTCATTTTGGCACTGCACTTTGCATTATTAAGCTTCATTCTAAGGTCAAAGGAAAATAAATCCTTGAGGCATCACAGAAATGTACAATAGCACAGTGGTCATTGTACCACTGTGCTATTCTTTTGAGAAATGTGGGATAATGGTTATGTAGCAGTTTGTCTTTTTACTAACACCACTGCTCTTATGTCCATTCCTCTCCTGGATGTTAAGGTCATTCTTAAACACGGTTAATAGAATTAACCTCACTGATCCTTCTGGGCCCAAATATCTCATTGGTATATGTCTGACATCATGGCTAAGCTCCTCCAAACATTAGGAACCATTCAACCCTTGATAACAGGGACAATTCCAAACTGGATGCCACTGGTTTTGCCGTCAGGGGCAAACTGCATCACAGAATGAAAGTGAGCGTTTTAAATCCATAAGTAAGCAGCAAATAACATTTACCAAGCCCTCTTAGGGACGACTGGATTCACTTTATAAGGGAAATGTGACAGCACGTCAGTTAGTACATTACTTAGTCAAACTGCACATTAATTTCTCAGACTGAGGAGAGGAGAGCTCCATAAACCTCAAGAAAACTTTACGGCTAATATGTTGCATCAAAGTTTTACTTTCCACCTTTCATTAAAACTGTACAAACTGTAATGCACACTTCATGCTACGACATGCATCTGTATCATACAACAATCCTAAAATAGGCGACAGTAGGCAATACTAGACAGTATAATTTTATCTGACAGATAATTAGCATGTGAGACAGTGACAATCAGATGTGTCAAGGCCAGAACAGGGTATCAGTATGTAAAGTGATGGCTACTGCAACATCCTCCTTTAGTAAAGCCATGGCAGTCAGTAAGTTTAACCCTTATCTCAACAACAACACATCTAAAAAATAACAATGTGAACCACCTACTGTCACAAACTGCTAATACATCCCTGACAATGTGGCTGAGCTTCTTGTAAAATGTCAAATTACTTTATTATCTCTGAGCATTGTATGAGTGATCATTTCCTTTACAAGTTGTCAGAATGGTAAATGCAACGCCCCACACCACCCCACAGGAAGCTGTATTACATATGAGAAGAGCAGCACAAGGACAGGCAACAGCCCCACTGCCATCCACAGTATCTCCTGTCAGTGGTTTGCAACCGTTTTTAATTGTGGTCCCATAAACAATGGGAAATGTCTACTTGCAACTCACTGGGTTTTTTGCTGGTCTTGTTGCTGTGAGCAGATAAGCCAGAGTGTTATCCCTCAAAGTTTACCTGAATAATTATCAGAGGGAAATTTCCACAAGAAAAAAAAACAAAGGTTAGATTAACATAAGCATAATTTTATGTAGTATAAATGTCTTTTTTCACTTGTATATTTTATTAATCATATGATCAGATTTATCTTGAAACCCTTTTGGGGTCCTGAACCCCACACCGAAAACCATGAGGTGTCAGCTTATACAGTTCACTCCTTCAAAATAAAATAAAAATCAGGTGAATGGGAAAATGCTTAGAGAAACAGAGTAGAAACAAAAATATTTATTTGAAAGTTACAGCCTACAAGTCTAAACATGCACACTACCAATACCAGCCAAACGTTTGGACACACTTTCCCAATGGAAAAGTGTCACCAAACATTTGACTTAAGTCACCGAAGTGAAAACCGACTGACCTGTGATGTCTGACAGACTGAATAAAGTATAGTCACTTGCCGATAAAGGCACCTTCATGTCCCCATTTTGAGTTATGGAAGTTGCATACTGATTAAATGCGCTGATGCGGTGTTCACTTTCTGCCAAATGGGGGCGCAGCCCACGTCATTAATAAAGGTTATTTTTCTCCAGCAGGTATTAAACAGTACAACCTTCTAAAGGCTACAAGTTAGCGGGCCTCTGTCATGCTTCAAGCCTAGAACAAAAATATTATATGGCACAGTGCCAATATGGAGACTCAACTTTGTTTCCCTACTCTGATCACTCCACATATGTTGCTCGTCTCTGAAAATAAGTGAACTTTATGTTACCTTTTCAACTACCGTATACGTGACAACATGTATTAGTTCGTGCGCTGCTTTCAAACACGATTTCTGTGGTCTTACCATGTTACGAGGGCGAAACTGAGAAACCACCAACCATCCAGCGGCCGTGACTCTTTCTTTGTCCAGTAACACCGATATTATTTCCCACAGTAGCTCATTCCTCTCACAATAATTAATAATAAAAAAAAACTACAAGAACTGCTGCTGACTCGACAACAGCTCTTTTGTCTGTGTATCAAACTGTTGGAGTGCGCCCCATTGATTTGGGACGCGTCTCTTCGCTGTAACCACTCCTTGCTGCTTTGTCCAGCAGTGATGTCATAACGTGGGGAGTCTCCAGAGTTCTGACCCCCCGGTTTAACCATTTGGTGAACACACGGGCATCTGTCACGTTTTCTTATTACAATGCATAATAGGCTATGTGTATGATGAAGGCAGGTTTACAGTGACACTGCCAAAAACGACTTTTTATCTTTGTACCGAAAAGTCGTTTCGGCTTATATGGTCATTAAACGCATCGCCGCCGTTTAGGCCAACTTAGAGGCTTTGTCGCTAGATTTGGTGACTTTTTCTATTTTCCAAAAAAGCGTATAGCAACAAATCTAGGGACTTTTTGAACAGAGTACTTTCTCTGGTCAGCTCGTCAGGACCGCCCATGAGGTCCACACGTCTTGCCGGGCGAAGAAACGCCCCTCTCGGCTTCTGCTCCTCTGGGTGGGAGGGGAGAGGAGCATTCAGCTAGTTCCACTGCCACAGGCAGAGACATGGATGGGCTGGGCGTGTGCGTTTGATATGACTGAAGGGTTCATATATAACATTTTTATTTCACAGTAAGGCAAAGGGTGAAAGAAATAAGCCTACTGTCAGCACATGCCTACATGTAAGAAGTTATATTGTATGTTATATGTTTTATTCCTTCATACAATCTTACCCTTTTATATTGTTTCTTGTTCTTTGTCGCTATGCTCATTTTATACTCTGACACATTTGATTAAGTGGCTGTACCACTATCTGGGATGCCAGGTTTCTCAAGTGCTTATTCAGCCTATAGATAATGTATTAGGAATACATTTAAATTCTGTTTTGGCATCTGAGATACACATGTGATTATATTGTCAAGTTAAATGGCTAGATTAGATGAATTGGACTAGATAAACTGGGCATCTTTTAAACACATAAGCTGTAGTTTGATGTACTGTATCTTGATAAGTGCTGTCAGTTTGATGTGATGTACTGTATCTTGATAAGTGCTGTTATCAAGATTATCACCATCCAAATTCTGACAAAAAAAAAATTGTTTACTGTATAGCGTTAAGCCTCTGGGTCATCTCACTCTGCCAAGTTTTAAGGGGGAGGCTGGCACCTTAAATTAGACCTGGTGAGGTTAAAGTATTGCATTTCATATGCTTATTAAATTTTCCAGACATGTGGGGAGGCCTCCCAGCAGGGGACTTTATCCCACCCCTGCAAAACTTTAATCTCACTTGATGTGGGGGTATGTTTGTTAGTTTCATATAGATGGAAATGTTGTCAGAGCTCTTTTGTGGGGTAGATGCAATACCAGCCCGGAGTGCGTCTGGGGCTCTTGGGAGGGAGGAAGCTTGGCAGAGGCCACTCATTTTAGGTGTATTTGCCTTATTTTCCAAGATGAGGTGATGAAAATGACAGCAGTGATGACTAAATTAATTTCAGGTACACAAGCTGACAGCATGTTTATTATTCCAGCCAAAGCTGTCACCTGTGCAGAGGCATAAAAATGTAAACAATTATCAATATAGTTGATGGTTAATGAAGCATCAGGTATTAATATGCATAGGTTGTCTAAAATTTTGATTTCTAAAAATTGTAACCAAAATAAATGTGTACTCAAAACTACTAATGTGAGGCTGAAAAGTTGTGTTGGATTTTTTTAGCTGATAAAGTGGCCAAGGTCCCTTCAAAGGTCCAGCAGGTTAATTTTGCTTTTATGAGAACAAACATAACATGTTCAATACATAACTCAAGCAGGTCCAGCTAATGCAACATCATCTGACAAAGTTGTAATACATAAAGTTGGATTTTCATAAACCATTTTTAAAATTAGGTTGCTGCTGGCTGTCTTCCAAATTTTTGCCCATGTGTAACACTGACCTGTATACAAAGTCACCAAACACCTTCAAAAAGCTGGTAGTGTATTTGTTTGTTAGAAACAAACAATATGCCTCATACTGTCTAATCATTTCTTGAATGTTCTCTTTTCCTGGTAAATTTGCCTTATACATCATAATGGTATCAAATACCACCTTTAACATTGGGTTGCTGCTTCTTTGTGACCTGGTTAAGTCTTTTACAGCCACAATATATTCTTGCATTTTATATATCCATCATAGTTTAAGACATTTTAATCTTACTTTGTTTAAAAAAATAATAAGGAACCAGCACGTAGAGCGTCTGATAGTACCCCCAGGAGTTGCCCAAGTCCTAAAACATGACTGTTGGTGCATTCAAATGACTTTATAATTTTTATTTTTTTGGTCTCCAGGCATTGCAGCTTATGTTTTTACAAGTTACAGTTATTAAACCAAAAACAACTCAGAAAGCTAAAGGTAAACAACTGAAAACAGAGCACTGTGACAACTTTATTGACCACAGTGCCTCAATTGATAAACTGAATTAATAAATTGTGAATTGAAACTTGGGAGATAAGGTCTCCGATTTACCCCCCTTTTGTGAATGCAGTGTACTTTCTTATAATTTAATTCTTCTGTTTGAAAAGCGTGATAGAAAAAAATATTTTAAAAAGTGGTCACAGTAGGTTAATTTTACTTTCGAGATGTGTTTTTGTGAATGCATCTCTGGTATGATCAGTTAGATAATATTTTAAAAATGTTTCCAAATATATATGAGCAGCGGGATGAAGCTGATTTCTGGCTACGTGATATTGCTAAATAAAAAAATAAAAATTACCGATATGCAGATTAGCACGTGACGACATCACGACTTGTCCAGTAGGCTTGAGCTACTTTCCATTTAAATTAGTTGGCAAACCTGGGCTACCGTATACCCTATGTCTAAGCATACATGCATGCATAGTTACATAGGGCCGACATGCGTATGCACACACAGTGCAGCTGTTTGATTGATAGCTCTGGGACACATGCAAAGTATCAAAGCAATCGCATTTGCTCAAGACATGACATCACTGGAAAATACTGAATATGCAGCAGGAACACCAATTACAAACATGGTAATGTGTAGTATATAAAATGGATCCTTTAGCCCGAAAAAAGAGGCGTAGAGCAGTGACTTGTTTTTCGGGCTGGACAGGGAATGGTTTCCCTTTTTGCATTGAGGTAGATGTGCGAACGGGACAGAACGAAAAACAGATCGTTGGCTTCTCCGAGGTTAACAGAATGGAGGATAGAGTAATAAAAGTGTAACGTTAGATGCCACCCACCATTAAATAATATTAAAAAAGAAAAGTTGTAAAAGCTTTGTTTGGATAGTGGCAGTAAACGTAACACATCACGTGACTAAACCCAGGAAGTAGTTTCACTGTCAACAAAGGGGGTGAGTATACACCAACCATAGTGTGCATTTCTTTTGGCAAGTGTACAATTGTCGAGACGCATATGTGAAATTTCTTTTCATTTTATCAATAGTTTGTTTTAGGTTTGTTTCGTTTTGTACTAGTTATCTTATACGAAGAGCTCACATGTAAATGAGCGAATCGCTCTTTACCAAACGCCAAGTAGCTAACCGGTGTTGAGCAGGTCAGCGTCAAACCCCTGTCAGGATACATTTCAACGTGGAAACCCTCGTGGTGTTTGTCTGGCGTTTATTTTTGTGCAGTGTGAGGGAACAAACAAAAACACAAGTGTAGGTTTTGTAGCCTATCATCCACTGAAAGCATTGTGAAATAATATTCTACTTTAGTTAACGTTTAGACCCCTGCCTTACAGCATTACTGTAATTACCGATCAAATCTAGCTTTTGTATTAATTATCGTCCATACCAGCCTGTTAAGTCTGTGTTTTTTGTGTGTAATAACGTAGAGATGGCTTCTTCCGACTGGCACCTGTCTTTAAAGCTGGCGGATCAGCCCAAATCCATCTTCCACTTCCCAGAGATGATGCCAGGGGATGTTCCACCCGGAGGGTACAGAGTCGCTACCTTAAAACAACTTGTGGCAGCTCAGCTCCCAGACTCCATCCCAGATCCTGAATTAATAGGTCTGTTATAGCTGCAGCAGTTGCACATATACAATAGCTAATGCTAACTCCGAATGAAAGGTGTCTGTGTGTGCGCGCCTGCGCGCACGTACCACTTCTACTCCTCTGGTCTGTGATAGGTTTGGTAAATTCTCTGAAGGGAATACCAGCTCTGTGCTATATGCATATGGCACCATTATTTTCCCATAACGTATTCTGTCTGTGTTTCATACTTTTACCAGAGCTGGTCCACTGTGGGCGGAAACTTAAGGATGATCTGACACTGGATGCCTATGGGATTCAGCCAGGATCCACCTTACACATCCTCAAAAAGACTTGGCCAGAGCCAGAGAGCAGTCCAGGTCTGTGTGTGTGTGCGTGCGTGTGTGTATGTGTGTGTGTGTCATATAAGCATTTGTGGTATAATTGAAATTTAGAGTGTGAATCTTTTTTTTTCTTCCCCCAGAGCCTGTGAACAGAGCAACTGCTGCCCGGGAGTTCAGGGTGTTTCATGCTGCTCTTCATTCTCTCAACTCTGCCTACAGAGACTCAGTGAGTAGGAAACACATAAAGCTAGACAAGAGAGTGGTGATTTCATCCTCTACTCAATCCAAACCCTGTCTGAGTTATTTGGCATAGATAAACAGTATCACACAGTGTTTGGAAGCATTCCCATGCCATACACACAGTAAAAGTTTATGGGGTTTGTCCTTCAC